GATTGTTGTACATCGGTGGGCAATTCCATTAGTATTTCAGTCAGGTATTTGTATGATTCAGTACATTTAAGAGATGTCAAATATAACTTGAACAAAGATTTTAAAAATGTCAAAGACTGGGGATGATCTCAACACTTTGCTAAACCCCAAATTAGGTTACAACAAAGTTCTATTGTTTGTCCATCCATTATCAATACCGCTTATTCCCTGTTGGGGTCACAGGGGGAACTGGAGCCTATCCCAGTGGTCAACTGGGTAGAGTTAGGTCAGGCAGTCTGCCAGTCCATTGCAGGGCAACACACAGGACATACAAGGACAAACAACCAGAACCCGGAGAGAACCCACACAGACACAGGGAGAACATGCAAACTCCACCCAGAAAGGTCCTGGTTCCCCCGGGATTCGAACCCATAACCCTCTTGCTGGGAGTGCTAACCACCACACCACTGTGCCGCCTCTATTGTTTGTCTTTCAACAGTATTCCAAAAACTACCATATCTCTAGAATTGGACTGGTGTGCTCCTGGTTCCTGGTTCCTGGTTCTGAACTGGACTGGTGTGGTCCTGGTACCTGGTTCTGAACTGGACTTGTGTGGTCCTGGTTCCTGGTTCTGGGTGTTTTTGGGCCCCCTCTGCTGGCTACTCAGAGGTCCACCCCTCTGTAACCGCTGATGGACTGAGGTCATTTCGTAAAAGAGACATGTTTAATTAGCAGAGTTGTGGGTTTTCTGGTTCTGGCCCAGATGCTGGACCTATGACCTCTGACCTCTGATAACCTCGTATGACCTCTGGCGACCTCTGATAACCTTGGATAACCTCTGACCTCTGATAAAACTCTCCCCCCCACCACCCCCCACAGCCCCAGCAGCCACGGCGAGCCCGGCTCCAGGAGGAAGCTGTACAGCGCCGTCCCCGGGAGGCACTTCGTGGTGGTGCGCTCCTACAGCGCCCAGGCCGACGGCGAGATCAACCTCTACAAAGGGGACCGGGTCAAAGGTCAGTGGCCAGCCAGCTCACACGGACACGTGCAAGGCTCCTGCTCCAGGCGTTAGCCTTCCCCCGGCTCTGGGGCCGGAGGCTCCATCAGAATCCAGGATCCTGACTGGTCTGAGCCCAGTCGGTGTGGGGGTCCACCAGAGGCTCCCAGGGAGCCCCTGGAGGTTGGGCCCCAGGGCTTAAGTGCTCTAGGGCCCATTGTTGTTCTTCTGATCGTAACTTTTTATGTTGCTATTTCCGCTGCAGGCCAGGTGCTAATTGGACAGAAACACTTTGGATTTTTAGAGATAAAATGTAAACAGGAAGCTGCTAAAAAGAGGCTAAAGTTAGAGTGAAGTGTTCATCTTTCTTTGTACCTGAGAAAATTAATTTTGTACCAACTAAAAGTGTGTCAGAGGGGCCTGGCTAATTCCTGCTAACTAAAGGTGTGATCAGGGCACAGCTGGAAGAGCTGGACCACATCTGCAGAAGCATTAAAAGCCAAATGTCTCCTTTGACATTTGACCTCTGACCTCTCTAGACCCTCTCAGAGTGCCTTGTTCTCTAAGCTAACCGGACTCTCTCCTCTTCCTGCCTTTCTCCTCCTGCTTTCCTCCTTCTGCTTTTCTCCTCTTCTCCTCCTGCTCCTGCTTTTCCAGTCCTGAGCATCGGAGAGGGCGGCTTCTGGGAGGGCAGCGCCCGCGGCCTGGTGGGCTGGTTTCCAGCCGACTGCGTGGAGGAGATCCCAGCCAAGGCCGCCGATGAAAGGAGCTGTACGTCTGACACCCGCCATGCTTTTCCTTCCCTTCTTCCTCCCCATCTTCCTCTTCCTGCCCATACTCCTCCTCTTCTTGCATCCTCCTCGTCCCCATCTTCCTCTTCCTGCCCACACCCCTCCGACACCCCCCCCCCCCCCCCCCCCCCCCCCCCCCCCCCCCCGTCAGTGCTCCATTAGCCTGCTAACTCAGCTGTGCTCTCAGCTCCTCTGGGTGGAGGCTGATGAACACATCAGGCTCCTTCCTCCATAAATGTGTCACTTTGGCTCCGCTTGATATGAGAGCCGGAGGGGGTGGGGGGTGGGGGGGGGTTTCTTTTTCTGACGTGTTTGTTTAATTATTGACGTGATGCTGGAGTCAGCTCCATCAGCCCCACCCCCCAGAGGGCAACTGGGCCTCTGGAAAGCTGGATTAAAAAAAATAACCTCAACTCCACTGGAGAGAAAAGGAGGAGGAGGATGAAGAGGAAAAGGAACCCAAGAGGAGGCCAAAAGGAGCCCAAGAGGAGGAGGGGTAGGTGATGAAGAGGACCAGGTGTGTGTTGGAGGTACCCAGGGAGCCAACAGGCTGCTGGTCTGGAACCAGGAGTCAGTGTTAGCTCAGCAGCTGGGTCCTCCTCCAGCATCTGGGGAGCATCTAGAAGCCGCCGTGAGACCAGGACGTTACCCACAGGATCATTTATTTATCAGCGGGGGGGTCGGAGCCCCCCAGGAACCACCACACCTAGATCCGATCAGCCGCCGGATCCAGCCGGTCGGACCCGGGAAGCCGAGCAAAAAGAGGAACTGTATAAATTTATGTTAGACGTTTTTTTATTAGAGGTTTTAAAGTGTCGCAACACCTAAAACACAAGTTTATAATAATACTCTGATGAATAATGGCTGTAATGACTAAGAGAGTTAATAAAAGTGTCCCAGAAGAGAGGAGAAGAAGAAAAGAAGAAGAGGAAGAAGTAGTAGAAGAAAAAATAAAGTATAGAAGAACAGAACAAGAGAAGAACAGAGCAAGAGAAGAAGAGTAGAACTGAAGTATAAGGATGGAGGGAAGAAGGCATGTTATTGGAGTATGGAAAAGAAGATAAAGGTGAAGAAAAATTAGAGAAAAATGGAGACAAAAACCAGGATTTTTTCTCATTAAGCCGAAGTGAAAGCAGACGGTTCAAAAGGAATAAAAACAGAATTACAAATAGCCCCAAACCGGACCAGAATCGAGCCCCGAACCAGGCACCAAACGGGCCCCGAACCGGGCTCAGGCCCAGTCGGCAGAGTCTAAAAAACAGCTGACGGAGGTGGCTCATCGTGTGTCACAAACACACAGGCGGCCTGCTGGTCTGGTGGCCGTTGCTATGGAGGAGATGCCGCTTCCTGCCTCTGCACATGCTCCCTGCTCTGGTTATCGGGTCTTTTCGGACGCTGAAAACAGAAAAAAGGAGAAAACAGAAAAAATGGGAGAAAAAACAAAAAAAGGAGAAAACTGAGAAAAAGAAGAAAACGGGGGTCAATCACAGCAGTTAATCCCTTATTGCGGACACAATCAGGGGGGTGGGGGGGGGGGGTGTTCCTGCTAAGCTGACAGGATCTGAGCGGATCAGAGGAGTTTCTGTGAAAGTGACAGCTGGTGTGAGAGAATCTGAAGGAAGGAGGAAGCTGAACGGGACGAACAGACAGACGGACCAAAGGCTGGTGTTTCCTCCCCGACAGCCAATAAGGAGCCTCCAGGAGCTGCTCTTCTCTGACAGCCAATAGGGAGCCTCCAGGAGCAGCTCCTCTCTGGTGGAGGCCAGTTCAGGCTCTGATCCCGTTTCAGGCTCTAATCCCATTTTAGGGCTCTGATCCCGTTTCAGGCCTTTGATTCTGTTTCAGACTCTGATCCCGTTTCAGGGCTCTGATCCCCTTTCAGGCTCTGATCCTGTTTCGGCCTCTGATCCCGTTTCAGACTTTGATCCTGTTTCGGTGTCTGATCCCGTTTCAGGCCTCTGATCCCGTTTCGGGCTCTGATCCCGTTACGGGCTCTGATCCCGTTACGGGCTCTGATCCTGTTTCCGGCTCTGATCCCGTTTCAGGCCTCAGATCCTGTTTCAGGCTCTGATCCCATTTTAGGGCTCTGATCCCGTTTCAGGCCTTTGATTCTGTTTCAGACTCTGATCCCGTTTCAGGGCTCTGATCCCGTTTCAGGCTCTGATC